ACTTCAGGAATATTGACACTTAGCAGCTGAAAGTTCATCTGAAACTGTACTCTGAAATATAGTATTAAAACCTACATAAAACCAGAATTATTGTAATTTTTCAACCTCTTCTTTTGTGTTTTTGTGTGAAACCTATAATGAGTAGAATCTATCTCCAGAGATGCAGTACATACTGTTAAACATTGGTTTTACAGTCAACAAAGCACATCATATTCCAACCAGTTTGCAATGCCAACAAGTTAGAGTTTTTGAAATTACTACAAACAGCTAATAAGTTGAAAGCAATAAGCTCATATTTTTGGTACATAATAACGACTGAATTTAGAAGTAGGGATTCTTAAGAGCCATTCAGCCAGATACTGTAGTTGCAGCAGTTTCTCTGCAATACAGAGCAGCTGCTCAAAAATCAGTTAAAAAACCCAACATGCAAAAAAACTGCAATCCAAGTTTCATGGAAGTTAGTTTTCTATCTATAACATAGTAATAGAGTGCCACAAATATTTAAAATGTCTGACATCCTTTGCTGACATCTTAAACCCTATTAAAACAGCTGTTTCCACATGGAGAAAGGCATTACAGTCATATTTTGACTTTAGAATACTCCAGCCTCTCCCCTCACCACCAGAAAACTTCTATAAGAAGAAATTACAGGTTAATACCACAACCTGAGTCCCAGTGGGGAAGGAGGCAGGAGACAGGTGTAGAACCCCTTCTCCCTGCACCAGCGACAGACGAGCTCACACACAGCAAGGATCTAACCAAAGTCAGTAACGCCAATTAACAGGGCCTGTAATAAAGCCCAAAGTCCACAAAAAGACTCAGTGGGAAGGGGTATCTGGTATAACAGAAAATACTCAACAGAAAATTTGGATTGCGTTCAAAGAAGTCAAATCCTCAGACTTTTAACTCAAATATTTAATTTCAATGACTTGAATGATAAGGAAGACCATGTCAGAAGGACAGTTTCATCTCCTTGTTACTTTTCACCAACCCCTTCAGCAGCACATTTACAGAGTCCTACAAGCAGGGAAAACTGTTTCAGGCAACTAGTCACCTTAAAAAAAACCTGCCTCAGGTAGTTAATTCCCTTAAAATACTCTGCTTCACAACTGTTAAAATAACAAGCACTAACTACTGAGAGAAAAATGAAGACATAATGACCTTTTAAAGAGTCTTTCCACCATATTTCAGTAGTTAACATTAAAACAGAAGTATTATTTGTTTATATGAGAGAAGATTTCTCTGGACTCAAACAGTTAATTCAGTTGTCCATGTAGACCTGTTCACTGTGCCTGGAATTTTAACTCGGGCTACATTCCACAAATCCCAAATTGCAAATTTAAATTAATGCTACAGTGAAAACATGATACCTAGTCAAAAAGAAAGGCAAGGGGGCAAGAGAAGACAGGCACAAAAAAGAATGTTGTATCCCAAGCGTTACTAACACCTGACATCCTGCCAGTAGTTAACACCTTGGAGGTAACAGAAATACACCACGTTTTTGCCTTGTTCAAAGGCACTTAAGATCTCCTTACAGTACTTAGCTTCGTAACAAAACTTTATATGAAATTATTTTCTAATAGAAACAAAAAGAAAGGAGATCCAACTGTAAAGCAATTGAAATAGCACTCTAAGTCAATCTACATAACCTTTTAACAATGATCTCACTGTTACGAGGGGGTAAAAAAAAATAGAAATTAAAAAAGCTGGCTCATACCCTCTCCTCTCATATACCTGACAGCATGCAGAACTTACTCAGACTCATACAGTCTTCTTTTTGCCATTATATATGCATCTGAAAACCTCAGGCATACTCATATTATTTTCAGAACACCTATACAGAAGGTTGATATCTTTTTAACCCTCAAGTAAGGAAAGTTTTAAATATTGTGCTTGTTTCATTTGTCTCACAGCATTGCTGAAAAACGGGATGTTTTGCTGTTTAATAAGAGCTAAGACAATCCTATAATGTATGAGAGAATCTAAGAAAGGAACTAATCCTCACCCTGCAAACCAACTCAGAATGAGAAAACTTTTGCTGAATCTATTTGAAACCTACAAAGAAGTCACATGGCACGGCTATGCAGATGACTAGCCAAAAAAAAAAAAATAAATTAAACCCTCTTTTCTCCTTTTCGTTTCTCTATCAAAAGAGGGAGAGAAGGGGAAGAAGCAGATAGAAATAGGAAATCCCAATCAGCACTACATTTCTGCTTTATCATATGGTCTCAACACTTCGTTAACTCCTTGGCTGTAGCAGATGTTTTTGTGTATTGGCCAGAACTAAGGACAATGACACAGGATAGTTTTCTTCAGGTAGGAAGTGCCAGATTTCCTGGTAAGTGGAGGTTTTAATGGCAGGGCCAATCGTCTCTTTTGCTGATCTCCTGTAGGGGCCAATAAACAAGTTAGAAAAGAAACCAGCTCTAGAGGTAAGAAGATAAGACTGTCTTTCCAGCTAGAGTTAATGCACCAGGATGGCTCCCAAACAGAGAGAAAAAGCCGGGGGGAGGGGAAAGAAAAAAAAACAAACCCCAAAACAACAACCAAACCTCCACAACAAAAGTTTACAGTACAAGAATAGTTGTGTTAAGTTTAACACTAGATAAACAGAAGAAAAGTTTACAGTATAATAACTCGATGCCATAGCCCAGTATTATTAACTAGCGTACTGGAAGTCAAGTGCAATCTCTCTTTAATAATCACATATTCTGTGGGAAAGCACAGCATAATTTTGTGCTTTTACTTTTTATACTACAGACAAGCTCATTGCTGATGCATCTCCTTTATGCTCATTTCTCATTAACAGATGATACTCACCTGTAAGAACTAAGTGCATTTAGACTCCTAGGAAAAAAGAAGTCTCACACCTATTTATTTTAAAGGTTAAAGGGTTAACATTTTTCTAGCCTTTTTCTTTAATAAATATTTGCAAGTCAAAAATAAACCCACTGCTGAGAAATCTCTATTAACCAGAAGCTATTAGCTAACTGATCCTGATGCTTCAATGCACAATGACTTAAGTTGGTTTTAATTCCTAAAAAAAAAGGAACCAAAACCAGCCTAAAGCAAGACACGCTACATTCTACATTGCAGAACTAGTTGATAAAGACTCAGAGGTTTTTTAAAATAAAATGAGTGCAGAAACGAGGTCCGAAAGTGATGAAGATGAAAGATACCTGGAATGATACCGCATCTTATACACCTTTTGTTTTCTGAGTGATACACGCTGCAGACAAAACATTTCGTGCTAAAGAGTCTTAAATCTGGTTTTCTAATATTAAGCACAAAGGAAAAACACTGACAGCAAGCGTGGTAAATAAATCCCTCCCTTGAGAACGAAAGCAGCAGACAGGAGGGGGCTGACACGCATGCAGGAGAAAACTAAACACCATCTTTTTTTTTCTACCTGCACAAGTTGCCATTTGCTGCAGAGATCGAGAATCCCTTTTCCCCGTTGATTTCAAAAGCTAGGTTTTCAGAAAATTTCTCTCTCAAGTCATCTGTTGATAGGCTCTAAGAGTATTATATTCATATCACTGGTTCTTTAAGAGAAAAATCCATTTTCTTTCCTGTTCAGGTAAACATGTTTACAGCTCCTGCACAGACGCTGGGTGGTTCAGACTCACATGTCACACACATGTCGTCAGCAACAAGAAAAGCCCCTTTCTCTGATCATCCACATTTTTAATAAGGTAAAGAGAAAAGCACTTTCCAAACTTACCTTTAGCACAGCCAAATCATGAGCTAAATATAAATATTTACACAAGGACAAGGAATTAATAACATAAGCGTGCAAACAAAAATACTTGCTAGAAAACGCACACAGAAAAAATAAGAAAACCCTTTTAAGTTCAACGCAATCAAACCAACCCGTTAGCCCCTGGAAAGGCCGTCATTTATCACCGTTACGCCCCGAACAGTCAGGATTAGAGAGGTGAAGCACCGATCGTGACTCTGATCTATTTCAGAGACCATTCACTGCGTATGAAAACATCTCAGATCGCAGGCAAAGCCTTCCTATTTGTGACCCTGCACAGGAAATGCCACATGAAACCTAAAATTGCCAAGGAGGGTTACAAAATCTCCTTCTTTACATCCTACTGCGAAGAGTCGCGCTACGAGGACCGAACTACTTCTCCATTTTCCAGAAAATAAGTAGAGAGTGGATGTTAGGAGCGTTTATTCCCCCCGCCGTGTACCTTCCCAATGCATCTTAAAGTAACACACGTACCAAAAAGGGGGGGGGAACCACCACCCCACAGCAGCCCTTAAGTCTGAAATGTAAATGTAATTCCTTATATAGACTGCAGCAGCTGGTCACACACGCACGGAGAGCAGAGAGCGGGGGCCCCCGGCCAAACCGTTACCACCCATTATTATACAAACAGGTACCTCCGAAGACAAGAGGGGAAGAAACTTCGCCGCCCGGGCGCAGCCCTCCCTCCCTGCCTGCCTTGCCCACGGCCCCGGCGGAGCGGCCGCGGGGCGCTGCGGGGACCAACTCTCGGCGGGGCGGGGAGGCGGGAGCGGGCGGGGGGGCGCCGGCCCAGGGCGGCCACGCTGCCCCCGCGCGAATCGCTGCCCGGGGCGGCGGCGGAGCCTCCCCCGTGTGTGTGCTCCCTGCCGGGGCTGCCCCCGGCGTGCCCCCACCGCCGCCCCGCACCGAGGAGCCGGCCCGCTGCCCCGGCGACAGGGGCACTCCGGCGGGCGGCACGGGCGCTGCCGGGCGGGCGGCGGGGCGATCCCCGCCCGCGGGACCGGGGGGAGGCGCGGGGGAGGCCCCGCTCCGCCGGGGCAGCGCGCAGGTAACAAGTTTCGGAGTTGGGGCTGGCGCGGCCGGGCGGGCGGAGGGCGCTCTGCCGGCGCTCCCCGCGGGGCTCCCCGTTCCCACCCGGGCCAGAGGGCGGCGGCGCGGCCGGGGGGCCCCGATCCCGCTGCCCGCGGCGGGGCGGGCGCGGGGCGTGCGGGGGAAGCGGCGTGTAACGGTCCCGGACAGCGGCGGAGTGCGGAGGCACCGCTAGGCGGAGGAGGGAGGCGGCGGCGAGGGAGGCTCCAGGTAGCGGATATAACGGTGCGGAGGGAGCCGCGCTCCCGGCGGAGCCGCGGCGGGGGGAATTACTTTGGCGCCCGCCCGCCCGACCTCCCCCCTGCGCGCTCGGGACGGCCGTGCCCGGCCCCCGCCCCGGCCCCGCCACCGCCCCGGCGCTGCCCCGCGGGTGACTGACCGTTGTTGCGGCGCGGGTTCGGCTGCTTCCTGCGCTTACACCTGGGGCCATCCGCCATGATCCGCTCGCTGGTGTCTAAATGCTCCAGTCACCTCCTCCCCCGCCCGCCCCCCTCCCTCCCTCCCTCCCCTCCCCCCCGGACCTGGTTTACGACACTGGGTGGTTTTACTTTTACATCACCTTCCTACACCTAGTGCTCGCCCGGAACCTTGTTGCCAGGGGAGACCGGGCGCTTTACGGCAGCGCGTTTGAACGGCGGCGGGGGAAAAAGTTGCGCCCGCAGGTACCGGGGGCGGCGGCACCACCCGGGCGGGCCCGGGCACACGAACCTCCGGCCGGAGCAACGGGGGGGGATCCCCGCCGGGGGTCAGTGGGCGCCAGCCCACGGAGGGGGGTTCCTGCGGGGGAGCATCGCCGCGCTGGGGGACCGGCCCGCCCCGGCAGCGCCCTCAGGTGCGACCCCCGCAGCGCCCCCAGGTGCAGCGGGGCCGGGCCGGGGCCGGGCCGGGCGGGGCTGTGCCCGTCACCTGGAGGGGCTGGTTCGGCAGTGACGGGCGTTCTACGTTACAGCTCCAATGGGGAGACAAACAGCTGGACGAGTGTGACGCTGTTCTTGCTGAACCTGCCGTTCTTGCGCTTTCCTGAGTCATACTTCCCGCTTTCGCGAAGAGGAGAAGAGGTATAAAATTCTATGCCCCTAAAAGAAAATAATAAAGGGAAAGGAGCAATTTTTTCACGAATAATTAATGGAAGACCTCCTTTGGGCTTAATAAGCTTATTTAATGTGTTAAAAATTAAAGCATCACCACCAAACGCTTGTACTATTTATTTACTCTTGCTTTTCGCTTCAGGCAATAAAATACTTTAGTAAGTTTGTTTCTAGGCTTCTTTATTTCTCTATTTTTTTTTTCCCCTCCTTATCCTAGGATGATTCTGTAGAAATTGAAATTCTGTGCTTCTGGGGAATTCTTTTATCTAAACAGATGAAATTTCAGTGCAAGTGTTTCTGTTAATGGGATACTTTCAATAAGAAATTGATACACTGCAGAACTTGAGGTCTTTAGGTATTCTACATCATTTCCACATGCTGTATGTACATTCTGTAACATATCATCTCATTTCATGGAAGCAGCATAGCATGTCTCTAGAAAAGGAACTATTGAACACTGCCAGTTTGTGGGCATACCTTGCATCCCCTAAAAGCCAGTACAATCAGAAGTGCTTAGAAAAGAAGTATTGGTCTAAAATGGAGGCAGAATTAGGTAAAGATCCAAAGGGATATTTTCCAAATTAATTGTACCAGCAAAAGTGTACAAGAGTATGCTTGGTTACTCACATGAAAACATTTTTGCAGGTAAAAATCGTTTGTCCGGTATCTCTAAAAAAAATTGGTAAATTTAGGTGTATTGTTTTTACATATGTGTCTTTACTTAGTGTTGGTTGGCTGCTGACCTCAACATTTTAATAAGGACCTACCTGAGAGTCATTCAAAAAGGATAACAAATCAAACAATACCACGTGTTCGATGGACTAATAGAAGTCATTTAAAAGCATGAGGAACCCCAAATACAAGGATAGCTAAGAACTGTGACATGAAACCAACTACAAGATAAAAGTGAAACTTGTCAGCAAAATTTTGAGTGAGTGGATTGCAAGGTTTAAGGCAGAATTTTGTTTGTACTTCAACCTCCTTACTTGTCAAGTTTTTGTGCAGAAGATACCTGTCACTGTGAAACTGTTTGCAAATGAGGGCTTAAGGTGCTTTGGAATTCTTGGATGCTTTTTATCATTCAGTGGATGAATTTAAGCAAAATATCATGTACAGGTTTTCATACTAAGTTTTTGGTTCCTTAAAGTTAGTCATGGTTTTAGAAGGTAGTTACAAATAAAAAATAATCTACAAATTTATTTGTAACAATATTCCCCTGCATGCCCACACAAAATTCCAGGCCCTCTTTAAGCAACTTTGAAGATCTTATTTGCTTTGAGTTTTGTCACTTTCCACCTCTGGATAAGAATTCTTGTGTCTTCATTTTTGAGCAATTTCCTAACAGAATGAGGAAAGAAACCGTCTCCTGGTGTTTGTTTTGCTCTTTTTCCTATAGCCATAGTGTCTGTTTGAGCTCTAGTCTCTTGAGATTTCCAAGCAGCTGGGAGAAACTGGTGACAAGTCCTGCTGGCCATTAGTTTCTGAAGAGCAGAACTGAAACTGGCAGGAGCATTGGTAGCTCTACACTGCTATAGTTTTGATAAATGAGAAGAGAAAACCAAAGCAATCTTTGTATATGTTATCTTTCATACCAAGGAGGTCTAGAAACCAAAAAAACCAGAGAATAATGTTTTGCATCAAGTTATTGATGACCCCAATCACTGTTCATTGTGAAAGGTGTCTCATTCACAACTTGTAAATAGATGTGTGAATGGGTTGCTTTTTTGGGTTTTGGTTTTTAAACTTTGATATGTTTAATCCAAGCAACTGGGCGCTTCACATCTTAGTATACGATGTTCTCATTATTTACTGTGCTGAATTAAGGATGCAGCCACTGACAAACAATTTTGACCTAATACTTTCTTCTAATCCTGGATGCAAACACACTAGTTAAAATTCCCGCTATTTTTGTTATGTTCTGCAGCGTATGAACACATTGTATATGTAGTTTAAACTGGTTTGTGCTGCAAGAGTGGAAAATCCTATTTTTCTTTATGGTGCACATGTTTCGATCTGACTTTTCAGTCAAGGATGCAGACATTAATTAATGTATTCTTTGGAAAATCTTAGCAAAGCAGTATATATCTTCATCCTCCTAAATGTGGCAATCTTGAGAAGATGTCTCTTTAAAGGAGGAGTTCTGATACAGTGGTCATCCATGATAATTAGATGGTTTCTAGTAATTTGTATGGGAATTTAGGCAACCTAAATAGCTGTATTATAGTTGAAACCCCAGATTGCATAGCTGCTGTACTTCACCCTTTTTGAAATTCATTTCCATTGTCTGAAGATAGGAATTAAAATATTTCCATAGTCAACAACTTACTGTTGTAAGGATGTTCAAAAACTAACTAATGATTCTTATAGACAGCTTTTCCTGTTTTAAAAATGCTCATGTATGTTGTGTTATGATTTATGATCTCTTAAGTATGTATCATTAAATAAAAGCAATTAGTCCTCTGTTTGTATGCCTACTCCTCATTCATGTTCATGAAATGCAGTTTCACATCCTATCTTGAGTATTGTAGATTTAATGGTGTTCATTTAGTTTAATGAATTTAGAATTACAGTGGAAATTGACTCAGTATATTGTTTCTTGTTTCACTTCTAGTTTGTGGAGATTCTTTTTTTCTTTTTTTTTCTGATTTCCATTAGTGAAACTCTATTTTCAATTCTATGTATTTCTTGGAATGTCAGTTCCTAAAATTTAGTTTTCAATTGATTATTTTTTCTTTTAGTTTTTTCTTAAATACGTTTTTACTCCTCTATAGAAACTGTAGTTGGAAGATTTACCAGGAGAACAATGACACAGAAATACGCAGCTTGACTGCAGCTAGTTGAGGAACTAATCTTGAATAAAATGTTGATTTTAGAGATATCAATATACAGGTTTAGTGCCCTTTCAGATGGTTTTCCAATTTCTTTGTAAGCTTCCAAATGAATCTAATCCATTTTGAAGGTGTACCCTGGGATGTTGTACAGTCTCAAAAAATAGTAAATCTGCTTGAAATTTGCACATTCACTTAGAGCACAGTTTGTAAATATTTATCAAGAGAAATTACCTTTTTTCACTTTCCTCATCTTATGATCTTGGTTTCTGTTTCTGTACTTTACCATGAATTTATTTGTTAATTTGAAGCTTGGGGCTATGATGTCTAGTAAATTGTCACGTCTCGCACAATTTAAGACTGTACCTGCTTGAAAGATGTAAGTGTAAGGATGTAAACTGCCAAAAGGCATCAATATGTACATAGCTATAGATAGCTACAATGACTTGCATATATGCAATTGACTTTTCTAACATCTTCCTTGTTAAGAAAAAGTGTTTGTGAAGGTCACAAAGGCCTTCAAATCCATTTTGTTTCTCTTGCTCTCTTTTTGCCCTACTTGTTGCATACTGCTTTTCTCTTGAAAGCAATTAACCTGTGCTGATACCTGTGTCAGGTTGGTGTGCTGTATAAGATAAACGTACTAAAGCATAACAAGGACCTACAGTTCCATTTTTATGCTAATTTTAACTTTCAGTGTGATCTCTGTTTCAGAACCTTCACACGTGCAAAAAATTCTTTGAGAAAAGGAAAAAACTTGAAAAGGTCATTTCACATTCTTCATCCAAAAGACAAATCTTGTGTATTCAAAATGGAATTGCAATGCAAATTTGGGTATAAGTGGTGGATAGTGAACAGTTGTGATATTTTTGTTTGTTTGTTTTTAGAATACCTGAAACTTCAGCTGAGAATGTCTACTGTAATATTTTATTTTCTGCCACTAGATGCAGTAGCCAAATGCTTTATCAAAATACTACTTTTTGTTTTAAATTTCATCAGAATTTGTGACTGATCAAATTACCCTTGTAGTGCAGTTAGATTACCCAGCTTTATTAGTAGCACGTTTTCCATTTATCTTTGTTTATGATGACTCTGCATAAGTGTTCTTATCCTTTATATTATCTAATTAAACACTAATGGGTTGTGAATACTTTTCCATAGGGTTCATGTTTGTTTCCTTCTGTAACTTCCACTCTATTTCTGATTTGATTCTGCTCACCAGCCCTCTTGCTGTTTGCTGTCTCACAGTTTTGTGCAATTGCTCATTTGGCTCTCATTTGGGGTTATTCCCTTTGTTATGATATCTGTACAGCTGGCACATTCAGCTTTTTAAATCCCAACTTAAAATTGATTTCTTAATTATGTAATTGTATATTCTTCTCATTTGTATTTGGGGGGTTTAGTTGCTGAAACACATTCTAATGTTAGGCATTATTCATTTGTTTTCTCTCATTTGTCTTTTTTTCCTCACTGTAAAGTGCATAACGCTTCTCTAGGGAATGTTTGTTAATACGTAAAAGGAAAGCTGTTGTGTTGGAGCTTGCGGTGTGTCTTCTGAACACACAGAATTAACATAAAGAAAACAAGAAAAAAGTATGAGAGTCTATCAAAACAAACCAATAAATACAATTAAGAGTCTCATTTTGCTTAAGAGACCTCAACAAAACATCAGTCAATGCCATAGGGAGAAACACAGATATTGTAATGGTTATTTTCTGGGATATGAAGAGAAGCTTTGGTGCACTCAGTATAGTTGGTCTGATTCTCAGATTTGGCAAGGTCTGTCTGGTAGTTAGAAACATATGGTGTAAAAATGCACAATAGAATGTTTGAAACTCCTGCATAGACCAAACTTGTTGGAACTAAAGAGCAGTGTAAAATTCTAGTATAATTATATCAGAGTTTAGTTTATTGGAGCAGAGAACAGCAGTTCAGTGCAAGAATGATCATATGTTGATAAAGAATTGGAGAGGGATTATGATTTTCATGTAGGACTATGCATATCAAGAATTTTTGGTTACAATATCAGAAAGGAAACCTAGTTTGGATTCATCCAAACAAATAAATTTTCCTTTTTCCCTTGTGGAAACAAAAGCCTAAAAAGATTTTGTGTGGGATCAAATAGATAATGTCTTTTTTTACCCAAGTATTAACAGCCTGGATTAGAGCAATTGTTACAGTCAGAGCAGGTGGTCCACGGCTTTCTATGAACTAAATGATTTAATAATTTCCTTTATTAGGTTCCCTTTTCTCACTGGGGAG